GTATAGCATGATTATTTTATAGGTTTCTGCTTAAAGGAGCACATAACTGAATATATTGACTGCTTATCTCCTGCACAAATAAATTTCTTGTATGTGGTTGGCATCACTCCTTCAGTTATACCGCCCTTCTTTCATCCTGGCAGATGCTAGCAATTCGCACCATGTGGTTCCTGACTATTTGACTGCCATCCCAGAAAGACACAAAGGCAAGAGCAAAGCGGGAGAGTCTGTCAGACATGCTGTCAGTGTGTATCCCAAATTATCCCAGGGCTCTGAGAGTGTACTGGACTGTGGGCTGTCTGTCCACATCGCCCCATCACTCTGTATTCTGTGCATGTGTTAGACAACTGAACCCCATAGACAGATATGTACACTCACACACAGATTCCCTCAAGTATGTCAGGGTTTGTCTGCACACTCATTACCTTTTGTTTTTATTACAATTATGTGTAAAAGCTTTGTTTTGAAATTCATTACCCAACTTCACTTGAAATTTATCGTAAAAAAAGTGATAGAATTGTTTTCTTTGAACTATTCTAGCTTTAGTTCACGSTTGTTTGATCACAGTGAGGCTTTGCATTGCCAGATGCATGAACAAATGCAAATTGGTCTAAAATCTTTTCAATTCATTTTATTTTAATCCGGAGAGTGTTATCAGTGTGCACAGACCAAAATTTTTCTCGCTGTAATTGGATAAACCTTCAGCTACAGAAAATGAGCGAGACATCTTATGCAAAGTGCTTCAACAGTCCAACTCTGTGTAGTCCTATAGTTATCTAATTTACTTATCATTCAAACTGTGATATTCTTAGATGTCTGTTCTGTTTTCAATTAAATGGGACCAATTTATATGRTATGCAAGTCACAAACCCCTCATCTTTCCCTTGAGTGCTCAATCAYAGGTGATTAATTTTAGCTAATACCCCCTACCTGTCTCATTATGCTAAGCAGASGAATGGATCAAGATAAAAATTAATTTCTCCCCACTCTCATCAGACATCATTTAAATTCAATGGCAAACAAGCAAGAGAATCTGTAAAACACACAGTAGATTGAGGAACAAAACTCCTACCTCCTTGAATTCAAAGGGAGGTACACTCGTAGTCAGTTTCAGACTGTTTTAGGTTTGTGCTCGTGTCAGTTTACAATAACTTCAAAACCTAAGATTTGTTTTCATTTGACACAAAGTGCTACTTTAAAAKCATGTTGTTGCATCACTTTTAATGTTTGTTTCACTGTATTTATATTTTTCTCTGTAGTATTTTCAGAATYACTTAGAACAATTGGAGTTTGTGAATGTGTAATAAAGTCTTGTAATAATTTGTGCATATCTAAGACACTGGTTATGATGTGTTCCATTTGCTCTCAGGGGTTGGAAGTTTCATAAGTGACTTGTAACTGGAATTATTTTAATTCTGATATGTCATTATTAGATCCGAGTTATACTCGTGATCCGATGTGTAAGTATATGGAATGCGGCATTAATAAATGCAACAGGAAATCATATTTATCCATGCCGTACCAAGCAGGATTATTAATTGTTGGCTGATTCTACACACTTTACAGATCTAGTTACAGTGGCAACACATGGAGCGGCATTCAGAAGCATTTATTGGAGAGAAAAGAATTGAAGCTACCAGTGTTTTTGGYCTGGAGCCAGAGCTTTGGCACTTTAGAAGCTGAGAAACACTGGCTCTGAACCAGCAGGAGTGAATGAGACAATGACTTRTAGTGCAACGCAGGTAGCTAATTGGTGGCAGAAAGTTGCTGCTGCTYTGGTGCAGCTTGGGGAATAGCAATGACACATAGAAGAGCTCATAAGCCAAATGCAATTTCATCAGAACTGTATATGTACGTACCATCTCCACACCCATATAACAGACAGAACCCAGCTCKTTGCTTTAAGGATTTCAGCATTTTAACACAATAATAAAATAACACCTAACACAGCCTGATGAAATTTTATAGTATTTCTTCTTCAACTAGTCACWGACTTTGTATAAATATTTCCATTTAGTTTAAGAAAATAACTCTTAAAAAAAATGGACAATTTTTTATGAATATTGTCATATTTATACAGTATGTGCAATGCACATTTAATCCTTAATTCTCCTTAATGTCTCGGCAAGATCTAGAGAAACTCATCCATGCGTTTATCTTTAGTCTCATTGAATACTGCAACAGTGTCTTTACGTGACTGCCTAAAAAAATCAATCAGACAGTTGCAGCTGATCCAGAATGCTGTTGCTTGTTGGCTAAAACCAGGAAGATGGAGCACATCACCCCAGTTTTACAGTCCTTACACTGGCTCCCTGTAACTCAGAGAATAGACTTAAAAATACTGTTATTAATTTATAAATTACTTAACAGCTTAGCATTACAAAACATTAAAGATCTGTTGTTGTATCAATGTTCCAAACCTCTCACATCTTCTGGTTCAAGTCGGCTCTGCATCCCCAGAACCAGAACCAAACATGGAGAAGCAGCATCCAGCTTCTATTCACAGAAAATCTGGAACAAACTCACAGAAAACTGTAAAACAACCAAAACTCTGAGTTCCTTTAAATCAAGACTGAAAGTCCACCTGTTTAGAGTTGCTTATGAAACATTATAAATAAAACATTAATGAACATTTTGATGTGTAACRRTGGCAAATGACAAACTGTAATGATTCAGTTGTTAACTGTGTTCTATGACTTTKTATTTTTTGTGTTTTTRTGATGTAAAGCRCTTTRAACTACCTTGTTGCTCGCCATCTTACCTACTCAGTCAACCCACGCCCACATACAGTCACGCTGTAGGCACGTTATTGTACATCCACCCTCATTGGCTAAAGCCTGTGGCCTTGGACTGACCCTGTGATGAACAAAATTACCCCCATGAGCAGCAAACCAAGGGGGCGGGACAAACATCTGTCAATCATTCTGTACCATGAAATACATTAAATGAATGGAGCTGTTAAAAGATAGCCTTATGAAGACTGGGTTTTCTCAACACTGTTTTGCACTAGTTTTTTTTGTAAACTTAAAAAAAATGTGATAATAAATTTAAKTTGTTTTTATTAGGCATCTTAAGATTTTTATTTCAAACACAAGGGAGGGCTTAGCCCTACTGGCCCACTCACATCTGCCACCCCTGGTTATTAATTTATATTTTTAACTTCTCTCTGTGTCTAAGTTCCAGTTTTTTAATTATTAATTTAGCTTCATATRTTATTTGCAGTCTGATCATCTTCGCACCATTTTGTGTAAAATTGTGAACAACTCGAGGTGCACTCCAAGCCAAATTTTCCTGTCTCTACTTTCTGACAAGTGGAGGAGACAACCAGTACCCCCTTAATGAATTCCCACTAGCTAGCTGTCTGCTCCTGGCAACATGCTCCCCATTTCTATTAGCCCTTCACAGAGTCACTGGGAGGTGAGGGAGGAGCTGGAGAATGGAGGGAGAAAGAAAGGAAATAACTAAATTTCAGATCTCAATAAAGGAAATGGRAGGAAGAAGAATAATTTTTTAAAAGCGTGTCATGAGTTTGTGCACTTGCTTAACTCTTAAGTTTTTTAATTTATGCTTTAYTTTAAAGCTTTCAAAGGAAAAAAAAACATCCTCGAAGCGCCATTTAGATTATAAATCACATACAAACATCTATCTTTGCACTGCCATTCTGAAAAGCTTTTATCATTTTTTTCTACTCCCACCCCGTCCAGATGTGCACACTTAACTCTTGTATTTTTTTAATTTAAAGTTAAATGATCATTCAGTGGCTCAAAGTAAAATTGGTTAAATACTGCAAATATTATTACTAATGACTCTTCTGCATCATATGGCACAGCTCCATTTTCAACACAGTATTTCCTGGCTTCATTTTCCACAAAAGAGAGTAGCCTTACAATGTGGGTGTTATCAGCTGTTTGTCATCATAAMTATTGTGTAGCTGCAGATGCACAAATACACAACTCACTGTAGTGAGAGATAATTAGCTTGCATTGCACTGATTTAACAGGCATGAATGCATAATTATTATACAATGATTGCTGCCCTGAATGAGTTTACAAAAACCCTATTGGCACAGTGAAATATTAATATCCTTGAGTTGTGATCAACAAAACATAATGCCAGTTTTATTTTTATGGATCTGATGTGCAACCAGTCTGCATTGGTTCCATCTAACTGGACCATACCATTTTCATTAGCATGGAACTTCAAATAATGAAGAAAGAAAAGCGTTAGTTGATATATTTTATATACAACTAGCTACAATCGAAAACCCAACATTATGAAGCTGTAACACACCAAAATGTACAATGGTTTTAATGGTTTTATAGTTTTTGCCCATTTTGTTTGGTTTACTGAGGCATATTGTGGTGTAAGTAAGTAAAGTTTATTTATATGGCACCTTTTTGTAGATATAAAATCACAAAGTGCTTCACAATAAAAGCAAGAAAAAAATAATAATAATTTTCAGTTTTTGTAAGTTTACATCCTATCCTGATGGGTATAACATGTTAATACTGCTTTATATACTATATTGATATGCGTAAACATTTTTTTAAAGTCTTGCAATAATTCCTTGAAATCTTTTTATCTTCATCCACCTTTTCAAGAATAGAAATGTGWCAAAGATTGCAGAACCTGAGCAACCTCTTTCACAAACGCACTCACACTGCTCAGCAAGCTGTTACCTTTCACCCTATTGTTAGCAAAGTTCCCTTTTCCTGCAGTGTGTTGTTTCTAATTAGACCGAGACAGCCGGCTCTGCCTCATGTTAAGCAYGCACTCACTCGCTTTGCCAGGTGGCAAGTTTGCCCACAAGTATCACACTTGAGAATTGATCCCATGGGATGCAGAGTAAGCTGCACAGGTGAGTTGTGTGCAGCTCAGGCCTGRAAAGTTTTATTGTATTTTATAAGAATATAGAAATGAAATTTTTTTAGCGTTGCATTTCTAATTTCTCCCTTGATTCAATTTGTTTACAAGTTATTTAAAACGAGACKGCCACTGTGGCTTTAGAGTTGTAGCAGAACAACAAAAACACCGAATCCTTTTTGGCAAAAAATGTGCATAATTCCAAAATAAAAGCACCACTCTCAAATGAATTATATTAAAAAGCTAAAGGTTTTCATCATCCGTTGTTTTTCCTGACATTTATTTTCTTATTACAGGTAAACAAGACTACAAAAAGTCAAAGAATGTCCTAAAGGCAACGCGACTGAAAGCAGAAGCCAAGAAGAATTCCTCTGGATTCAGGGTGAGAAGTCTGTACTCAGGATTACTTCAGTCTGTCTGTTTTGGCCCATCTGTGATTCTGCTTGTCTGTCTGCCAGCCCTTTTTTCCCTCCTCTTGTCAGTCCAACTGCATGTTTGAAAGTGTCTCTCTTGTTTTTAATATCATAGACACTTAGCAGTGGTACTTCGGGAACGAACTGTAGGTCTTAGGGGACCGAAATAATTTACTGGAAATTGACCTATAATTACGTGAGGTGGCCCCAGACTCTCAGAAGCACTGAACACTGCAAAATAAATTATGGTGTTCTGCATGGAAAGACAAAATTGAGCAATGCATTTTGTCTGCAGAAAAGAATGCATGACTTTGTTTTAATTGTAAAGGAGAGATGGGACGGTAAGACGATTGGTGAGAAACTGAGAATCTAGGAAAGAAGAGATGCATGAAAATATGTTTCACTTAGTTTGAAAGTAAAAAAAGGAGGTGAGTGTTTCTGTTGTTTTGTCACACTGCAGTGATTAGAAGCTGTTTCTCAGGCAAAGATGGATGACTTTTTGTTTATCATTTCAACAGCAAACAGCTGTTAATTCTTTTGGCTTCCTAAAAAGTTTCCCTAAAATAAGTGTTTGCCACGGAAATAGTTTGTCTACTCTCATATGTATTAAAATCACATTTAAAATTGCAGATACAAACATGTCTTCTGTGTTTACTTGTTTTTTTAGTGAAACTAATTAAAAAAAAACAGAATTAACATAAGTTCAGTTCTCTTTTTGTATAATTTTGCATATTTGTTTTCTTTCTGCTCAATAAAAAGTTGTTCTGTTTACAGTACATTGAGGCCCCAAAGGCTTCCCTCCCCTCATTAAGCCTCAGCAGCCACAAAGTGCGCAGAAAATGAGCAAATCGCAGCGATGATTAAACACTGGGTGAAATGGTCAGKTTTTAAAATATGCATCTCTTAGACACGCAAGGCCTCATTAAACACGTCTTTAATCCAATTAGATTAGTCCATATCTTGAAATATTGATACTGGTCATGAATAATTGATGTTTTTCATGCCCAAGACGAGGGGAATTTTCAGAGGGCCGGATTAAAATACCTCTGGGACGAGGATATTAAACCAACTTGGACCTCTTGGCCTAGAGTTTGATTGAAATTCAGTCCAAATGTAATGGATATTTGGTCATGCTTGCTTTTCCATCAAGTCCTTCTTTTAACATGATATAAAGTTGAAAAAATACATTTTTTCCCCTCCTTTAACACAACTCTGTGATGATTTCAGAAAGCATCTCTGTGCTTTTAAACTTTTGGCTGACAGCATCCGCTTCCCTTTGGTTTTTTTTCACGAGTCGAGTTTGGATGTAGGTGTGGGTTGCAGCACACGTAAAGCTCCTCTCCTCTCCTCTCTCTTCTTTTTGCGTCATTCCTGGTTGAGATGCAGATGGTGCCTCAGAACGGCCAGCAGACACGCAGGCACAGAGAATGTGGCAGCTGCCAGGGCAGGCTGTCTCGGGGCGGTCCTAGTAACAGGACAGTCTGGAGAAGTTGGCAGAGAAAAGGCAGGAGACACATTGAAAGAAAAAGCAACAGCGTGGAGGAACTTCTGTTCCCCCACAACAATTATCAGTGATAAGAATTCCYCAATAAATGAAGAAGAAATTGTATCTATAGTTACACCCCAGTTGATAATCCATACACAATCCTAGTGTTTTTTTTTTTCCTGAAGTAATATCTTGTTACTCAAATAAAAGTCTGCAGCTCTGTCAAACCGTGGGTGGTATTAGGTCATGACAGCAGAGAGGAAGAAACTGGCAGGAAGAACTGTCTGCAGTCTCTTCTTAGATCGCCTGGAGAAGGAGCAGAACCTTCAAAGCAGCTCCAGCACTTTCTCTTGCAGCACAGGAAACAAGCCTCCTGCCTGGTCTAATTGGCACACTAGCCTTCTGTTCACTTCTGCTCGCTTTTTCCCTCAGTCTTATTTAGCTGCTGAGCCTGGAAAGTTGGGGGGTGGTGGGGATTGCTCATAGATTTGGCAGAGGATGGAGTGTACAGATGATGACTCTGGGTATGTTCCATCTGTCTAACTAAACAACTTTAGGACTTTATTTCTGTATATTTTTTGTGTGTTTTTGTCTTTATTTGTTAAAGACAGAAGGACAGTATAGAAGGAAGGATTGGGTTATGAGAATCAGTAAAGATTCTGTCATTAGGGAGTTTAAACATGGACACAGCACCATGTCAGGATTCAGTCCAGTGTGCTACCTGACATTTGATAGTATTAAAAATAATAATGCTGATTATTTTTGGTCAACATTGTTTTTTATTGAGTTGCATTATTGCATGTTAACAGTGGTGGGCAGCGCTAATCCTAAAATTAGCTCCACAATTTCTAAAGCACTTATGTAAATATTTAGGTCCGCAACCTCAAAAGCGCATATGCCATAGAAAAACTAGCGGAAGCTAATTTTAAAGCGCAAGTTCAATTTGACACTTACTAGCTGGCAATAATTCTTGTACAATATATGCACAACACTGCCAACTAGCAGTGTATGAACTCTTTTACAGCTTAATCCTACAAGCGCAGATTGCTGGGGATGTGAGTTCCTGAAACAGACCTTTGGCTCCTGGTGTAAAAATTAAAAAGTTGTTGAGGATTGCTAGTTCGGCTGCTTCTTTGTCTTTTTCTTTTGTTTGTTGTAGATTTTTCATTAAAGAAGCATCACTAAAGTAATTTTAAAACTGTTTATTGGAAAACTGAAGCAATGCGTTCTGAGTACAACAGATTTGATTTGTGACGGGAAACGAAAGCACATATTACAGGAAACTACACTCACCGGCCACTTTATTAGGTACACCACGCTAGTAACGGGTTGGACCCCCTTTGCCTTCAGAACTGCCTCAATTCTTCGTGGCATAGATTCAACAAGGTGCTGGAAGCATTCCTCAGAGATTTTGGTCCATATTGACA